ATATATATATATATATATATATATATACATATATACTCTTCCTCTGCAGTTAGTGTTTTGTTTAGATTCTGTTCATCACTTGATTTCTTAAATCCACTGGTTTATGCTATAACGGGCATGGTGCCCCTGGTGGCTAAAAGCTTATTTAGATTGTGACAGACCGAAAAAAAGAGTGAAACTTTCAGTAGATAACAGGAAGGCTGATACTGATACTGTAAAGTTGCAGTATTTTCACATTCTTAGGTCTAAACCACAGTTAAAAACCATAATAAGACGGTTAGTTTTTATATATTCTTATAGCTCTGAAAGGGAAAAAAACCCAAAGTGGCAATAATTAGTAAGTTTGTAAGACAGAGTTCGACAGAAATGTGAGATGAGAAATACGGAACAAGATTCTGATTGGTGGAGCTTTACATATATTTACTTGCTCTTTGAAGCAGGTTTGTCTAATAAAACATAAATTTTACAGGTCAGGATTGAAGAAGAAAATAATCAATTTAGAGCTGAATTTGCACAAACCAACAAATTATATATAGAGAGCTTGTGCATACCTCATTATTTCCCATCTTTTTAGATCACACATCCGTTGGTCCAGACATTTATAGTTCCTATTTTCCCAGGCTGTGCTTTGAGATCAAACAACCGCAAACATGCATACATGCAAACACATGCTGTGGATACTATGCGTTAACTGGAGCTTCTAAAGCTTGGATCATCTCAGATCCTTATCTCACTCATTATGTGTTTACTAATGAGAGCAGCCATTCCCATCAGTTCGAATGTGTTTACAGTGCCACTTGTTTAACAAGCATGTGGGTGCAATCAGATAAACCCTCCAAAATGTTTCTAATTTACAGCAGCTCCCCAGTAGCACCCTGTAACAAGTCTCTCTGACCTCCCCGCTATGCCAAGGAGGGCTCCAGGCTGGGAAAAACACATTTTGGCAAGAAGAAAATTGAAGACACATTGTGTCTACCCATGATAGGACATAAGTGATTATTTAGTTACTCTTTATTGTACATATTTAACTGTAGGGATGCTCAGCTGAGGCTTACGTTGTCTCGACATCGTTGATAATATCTCTTACACTGTCTGCTTCCAGAGGTAAACTAGCTGGTAGCAGATATTCACCTCCTTAATTTAAGCTTTCATCTCTCTAAGATCCTTTTACAACACAAAGCCAGAAGATGCCTAAGTAATCATCTGGCTCCATGCACGTGATTGCATGTACAGTAGAAAATAAATGTGTGCCTTGGACAGATGAACAAACAACAGCCTGAACTAAAAAGACAATTTGGGTAAAATTCAAAAGTTTGGGCAGGATCATCAAAAGGTAAGTAAAAGTGCCTTTAGGAAAAAGAACAAAAAAACAATCTTTATGCAGATTCTAAATGGACTTTTCATGAAACTGTTTTGTTGTGTTATTTATGTTTTTATTGGTCTGGTTTAATTCAAAATCCTTTAAAAAACAAAACGAAATGCTGTAAGTGAAAAATGATATAATTTAACAGATATGAAGGCTTGAAAACACACAGACTGTGTGTAATTAACTTATACTATGTTTCACTAAGTGAACAGAGATACTGAAATAATTGAATCTTTGAAGTATTGCATGGTAAACCAAAAAATTGTTTGACAGCCTGTTTCCCATAGTTTTTAAAACTAAAATTTCTAAATGTTTTATTGTTTTCTTGTTTTTGTTATGAAATTCTTAAAATTATATGGGACTGTATTTTTGGAAGGCTCCTGAAACAGCAAAAAGAAGAAGCAGTAATTGGCAGTGTGGTAAAGATGTTTGATTCTGGTTTATTTTCTCCCAGTGACAAACTTAGATCGGCTTGGTTTCAAAAATGTACAACAGTTGCATAAGTGTGGTTCGTATCCATTCAATCACAAAAAAAAAGCAAAAATAACAACTACAAACTTAAAAAGAGCTAAAAAGAACAAAACACATAACAGTATCAACTGGACCTAATTTAACACCAGGGAGAAACAAGAGGGAAATGGGGGTCAAGAGTCTCCCCACCCCCTGCTCAGAAAACCTTTTCTGGAAATATTTTCCTTACTCTGTTTTCTTTTTTTTTTTTTTTTGTATATCCAGACTTGCAAAAGTACCAGCGTTCAGCGTTATTGTCCCTTTGGAGGACTGGTTTTACTCAAACTGTAACCTCCTGCCTTTTTACATTATTATTTCAGTATTCCCACAAAATGTTATTATCAATTAGAATTATTCTTTTTATTCACAAGCCCCTCCTGCATTGGAAACACTAATCAGCATGATGCTGCCACTTTTGTACTTCACATGGTAACTCTCCTCAAAATAAAACAATGCATATGACAAATATAGCAATCTCCAAACATTTTAATTTTAGTTTCATCAGATCACAGCTCATTATATTATGGCCTCTTTTGTTGCTTTGCACACAGCTTCTTGCACTGAGGAACAGGACACTTGTACCTGCAACACACTTTTTTTTCTTCTTGAAAATGGATCCTGTCTCTTTCCTGAATGATATGGGGGCTGAATACCCCTATTGTGTTCATGCTTACATGTCCTCATTTTAAAAGATCAATGATGGACCTCTCTGTATCATGGTTCTATATAGGTTTAAACAAGATTTGTGAAGGTTGAGGATTCTTCTACCGATTCTTTTAGAGATTTCTTTTAAGCTTATCTATCATTTCACACAGGGAAGAAATGTATACTCAAATAATGCTTCCATGGTGTGTCTCTAGATAACTGAAATATTGAATATTAGCCTTTCTTTAAGTTTTTGAAAGTCACTTTGAACTAGAAAAAGTAAGATTCTGGCATTTAGGAAATGGAAATATTTTGGTTATCCCGACTGAGCTAAAACAGGAATGGTCAAATGGTCTCACATAGAGAAACAACAGCTAACTGCATGGTTTTCAAAGGAGCAGAAACATGCTTGATGTTTTATTCGAAACAGTTTTGAAATTTAGGCAAAAACCTGCTATGCATAAAAAAGGAGAATGATTGATAAGTTATTTTAGCCTCTTCGGGGATGCTGCTTTAAATCTTTTTACTTTTGTTTTATGGGATAATCTTTCTGGGAACACCGAGACCCCTTCTGCATGAAAAATCGTCTGGATGAAGTCCAATTAAAAACAACTGGTCTAAAATGAATGATATCTAGTACTTGTACAGACATATGCATTAGTAATTCTAAGTGCATTCATTTAAGGGTGTTACAGACCCTTAAATGATGGCATATGTGAAAAATTAAAATACGCGTAGACATCATACAAACCCTAAAAATAATGCATCTGAAGGTAGGGGTGATATCCCACACTGTAGTCAAAAAAGTGGGCATATAGATGATGGATATACAAGTTGAAATACTTTTAAAAGAATAAGGTTTTCAAAGAAGGAAAATCTTAGATTTGACAAAAACAAAGAGACAGACAAAAAGTGAGAAGAGGAAGCTCATATAGCTGTAGAGGAGACTTAGAGGGATGCAGCCATAAGGGGAGACGTGTGGCTTGTATTGCGGCCTTGTAACTGAGGTTTGGCTCTGAGCGTGTCCCCCTCTCCCTGACCCTGCCTGCCATACTGAAAAGCCATTCAGGGTCTGCTTAGTAGAACAAATGTTGTACAGAGCGGAACATGCTTGGCCTAACCAGCAGTGTAAAATCACACTCAACTAGAGTGCTTTTAAAGCGCCGCTGCTTTCTCCATTAAGGTTTTCCATGAAAAGCCCACAGCCAAATTCCTGTATTCCCGCTCGAAACATCAACTCTAAGGCTGATTTAGAGCTCGTTCTGTTGTGTGGATTTGGGTGCATGTGTGTGTAAAAGAGTGTCTTAAAAAAGGTGGAAGGGAAAAATAAATACAGGAAAAGCTTATGTTTTCCAGTTTTCTTTAACCATAGAAATCAAAGCTATATTTTGGGAAAGTTATACAGACGGTTTTTTAGATGACCTTAAGATGACATAACTATAAAAGCTGTTATTTGCTTTCAGTATTTCACTGCAAGTCTAAAAGCTGAATTGGGACTTTCCACCTGAGCCGACTGTGAAGTAGAAGAACAAGGACAGTATTAAGGCAGAGTTTAAAGACTGGCTCATGCGTTTGTCATTGGGTGGAAAGTTGTGAAAAGCAGCAGACTGGAGCTCAGCTGAGAGCTACAGCAGGTTACTGTGCATTGTTCTCTGCTGAGCAAGCTTCTTTGTGTTATGCATGGAAAGATGTTACTTCCTTGTGGTTAATTTAACAAGTTTCCTGAATAGTCAACATGCATGTGGCCTCTGACCAATACCTGAGTCTTACCAAGATGAGGTCAGCCTATTTGTGTATGCGCCTGTTGTTTATGTTGCTATAGCAATAACTCTCCAGATCCCAAGCTATGATGTCACTCTGATAAGTAGCAGCTATATTCTGCATGTGGAGTTTACTAAAGAGATGCTACTTTAGCTTATTATCCGATATAGAGGCAAAGTGCCGACTCCGACAAAGAGCAAACGATTCACATTTTGTCTTTCCTTTTGCTTGATGACTTCACCTTTATGCTAAACAATACCTTGATGTGTATTTAAGCATTGCCATAGTCTGGACTTCTCTGATTTATGAACATGATTGTGGTTTTAACCATCTATTGCAGCTCTGGCTACAGATTTAAGGTTTGCTGGCAAGTGAATATCCATTCCAGTTATTAATATTTAAAATGTCAAACATTAGAATTGTGTCTCATCAGATCAGAGCACTGTCCTCCTAATGTTGTTATAGCAAACTGGCTTTCATCTTGTCAACCTTTTTTCAAATGGGTAAATGTATGTGCATGCCTAATACTTGTTATTTAAACAGATTGTTCTACCTGAGCTGTGCATTTTTGCAGCTCCTCCAGCTACCTAGGCCTGAATACAAAAGCATGTCACGCTTATGTGATACTCTCTTTTGGTTATTACATTAAAACCCAATAAATAAACTGAAGAGTCACAATTAGAAGATAAAAAAAAATGCTGAAAGCATCCAGGTGGTGTAAATACTTTTGAAAGGCATGGTACATGAATTTTACAACGTGAATCAGTCGTCACCCTTAACTTTGATGCATTGGTTAACCCTCCAATAGGCCTTCAAATGACTCCTATCTAGCTTAAAAGGAATCTGTAAAGGTTTTCCGCCAGCCTAATTTCTTTTCCATTCTGGCTCAGTGTGTCTGTGTGGGTGAAAGAAAGAGGTAGAAAGACTCCAAGGGACACACACACTCGGAAAAGCAAGCTTTTAACAAAAGCCACATGTTAAGCGAGAGGTAAAAAAAAACCCTGCTGGAATCAGACATTTGTAAATACAGTCCATTGTGTCCCTGGAAAGAAAGGTACAACATGCAGACTTGCTTTTACACCTTTGTAGAATTGCACATAAGCTACCGGTTGTATTCAATTACTCAATAATGTTTCTACTTTGTTTGACAAAGTTGCATGGCTCAGCTGTAAGAAATACTAAACGTGACTGGCAACGGCTCCTCTTTGCTTCTGTTTGTTTGGAAAAAGACCAGTCCGGCAGTAAGAAGCAACAAAACACATGTGGGGACAGAGGGATAAATTGCATGTTTCCAAAGCATTAATTCTTGATAAACAGATTTCATTTGAGGTTCAGTTGATGGAATATTGTGGCAGTCCAACATTAACATTCCAATATGACAGATGAATAAGTTGAAAGGATTTGAGGTAGGACAGCCTTAAAACATAGCAAAAGTTATAAAGGCCAGATCCGTATTGCCAAGGACATGTTAAGTTTGATGCTCTGGAAAATAAAAGATCTTTGCATATCAGTTGAGATGGACAAGATGGGACTCCTGAAATGTGTGCAGCCACTTTGAGAATCAAGAAAAGACATAACATTGTTCTACAAGCTCGACCTCTCCAAAGTAATAAAAAAAAAATAGCAAGCACAGACTCCCACACTGGTCTCTTGTAGAACTGTGCAAGACTAGTTACAATCTAAGCCTAACAGAAAGGTTAATCTGTTAGTTAAAAAAAAAAACTCTTTTTCTTCCACTAATCGGTTCATATAATAAACCCCAGCTTGTGCATGTTTACAACCCTTTCTACAAAAAGTTAATCCCCACTTTTTCCACTGGGGCTGCAAAACTCAGTGTGTAATTCTGAGTGATTGTTTGGTCAGCATCATCTTTGTTCACTGCTGACATAAAAATTATAAATAAAATCCTGCTTTTTATATATATATAAATCATTTATGCTAAGTCTAAGAAGTCATCAATATAAAATCTGGCAAGTATAAAAAACACTGGACTAAAGAGAAAGAGATGATAGAAATGAGATGATAGACGCAGCAAGAAAGAATCATTATGTACAAATCATACTGCTCTTGTACTTAAATTTATGAAGTGATACAAATGACTCATGCAGGGTGTGATTTCAAAATATTTCAAGGCCCTCTTTATTTGAAGCTTACGTGTTGTTCTCCCTTACAGTAAAAGCTGGTAGATGGTCATTTGAGGGCAATTTATGCAGGGAAAGATAACTATTTGATCTTACCTTTCGACCTTCTTGACCAGGCTTTCCAACTGGGCCAATAATCCCTGAGTCTCCCTGAAATTAAATTCAAGAATGTCATTGGGGACAAGAACACAACAGCTCTGCTGAATGGTAGGAGCCATAAAAAAAGGCTCAAATACCTTCTCTCCTTTAGGTGCTGGCCCTGGTGAAATGCCCGGATCTCCTTTTTTCCCCTGAGAAGGATAATGTTATATCAATTACACATACTAAAAAGGCAAGTCTCTAAATCTGATAGCATAATAAAAACATTTAAATTGATTAAATTGTATATAAATGATCATTTTTAAACAATATGAACCTAAATTACATGTTAAAAAAAAACCCTGATATAAAAAAAAGAAACATTGACAAATTACATAATTTCTTTTCATCAGTAAAAGGGAAGCTTTACTAGCAAACTAGCTGTTTGATGTTTCTTCAGTCTCCCAAACTGACATGCACAGAAACACACCAAGCTTCATTGTCAGCAGGTAACAATAACAGGGTTTCAGGACATCAAAGCTGTGTATTCGGAAATTACACTGAGTGAGCGCTGGCTCCCTGTCTTTGCCCTTCAGGCCGTCTGCATTTACAACTTTACTTCATTTATTAATGATGAAAGGGCAAAAATTGCAGAGCCCCTGTAGACATCAAACACCTCGTAATCTTCCTTTCAACACAGTTACCAGGTAGGGGGAGCATAATCTCTGCCAGCTTCCCAAACAACAGACATCAGTGATGATTCATTCAGGGAGGATTTAAAATCTTCACTCATTCTACTCTACTCCCTTGTGATATTTGATTTAAAAGCTAAAAGAATAAGCTCTCTATGGGGTGGCTCATCTGAGCCTTAGTGATAAGGAGAAAAGCTCCATTATCCACTGCAATTTCAGATTAAAGCATTATACTGTATATTATGATGTTTTTAGGAAGATTGTTAGATGGTCATTGAAGTGTATGGCTTAGTGGTGCAGCCCAATCCACAACACAGACAAGAAGTAAAATCAGCGATAACTGAAATAATCTTTCTAAAGGTATCTTAATCCTGAGATAAATGAAAAATGAACATGTTTTAGCTTATGGCTCTAACTAACTAAAATAAAATATTAGCCCGAGAGCCACACATGAACCTGATCTATGGTAGCACACAAAGAACCCTACAGTACCTAAAGGATCTGCTGAGGTCCTAGTGTAGACAATATAAAAATGCAAAGAGTTTGCAACTCTATGTCCTGAGGAATCAAAGCCTGTTTATCAGGAAAAAAATGACCCTAACTAATAATAAGCAGAGGGCTGTAATTTGTGGCTGCCCCTCCTGAATAACAACATCCATCCTTAGTCTTACAAGATCGGATCTGTAAATAAAAAAGTTCAAGAGGGAAACCGAGGCATCCCTCCCACCAGTAGCTCTCTCAAGCACATTGTTAAGGATTTCAAACCAGAGGTTAAATACAGTCCCTCTGAGAAAAGACCCCAGGACCCCCTGCCCTGAGGTTTGCTCCCAGAGGGAAAACTCAAAACAGAAATGCCTAGGAGGGACTCTAATGAGCTTCCTCGTTAAGTTTAACTCTTTTAGCTATTTGTAGTCGACACTTCACCCTAACACTATTTCCAAACATTACTCAGATATATTGGCCAGTCTGATATGATAGCATCACCTACTGGCTTTAGCTTTGTCTGCTTAACATTCATGATGACAGCCGCCTGATTGGCCACATCTCAATGGTGTTTTATTGGACTAGGATCTTAAGACCGAGGAAGCCATCAGATTACAATAAAGATCTTGATTTCAGCTTTTTAACATTTAACCTTTAACTGCCCTTAAAGGATGCCCATGATCCAAAACAACATTCTAAAGGCTGTGCAATGCAGGCAATGCTCAGCTGGTTATAAAGAAAGCCAATAAAATGTCGTCCACCCAGTTTATCTACCAGCAGCAGCCTAAGCAGCTGAAGACAAGCTTTCACACTACTAACACATAAATCTAAACCGATGGTACGAAAGCTGAAGCTGAAACTGAGACTTATCAAACCAGGCAGTGTTTTTCTAACCTGTCATAGCCCAGTTTTAGCGAGCTTGTAGTCTCAGCGTAATTATTGCCTCAGTTTCATGACAGGGGTGACACTCGATGTGGTCTTTGCTGCTTTAGCCCACCAGCTTCAAAGTTTGATGTAATGGCCGTGAGATGGTATTCTACATACTTTGGCTGAAACAAATGGTTATTTGTGCCACTGTTTCCTTTCTATCATCTCAAACACGCCTGCCCATTTCTTCTCAAAAAGAGTTTTTTGATCTAGCCAAATGAGGCGACCGGGATAGTTTGTCTTTTCTGTGTAAACTCATGAGAAGGTTGTTCAGGAAAATGTTAGTAGAGAAGAAGATTTTTCTAGACTGCTTAGAATTAACTTTTCATCACAACTTAATACGTAATTTTTAATCACATAAACCCCTTTCTTCTGCATTTCTCCACTCCCTGATGGTAAATGCCTCAAGTTGCTATCATGTGATTGGCTGAGTAGCTATATCTCTTCGTGATTTTATAATGAACTTAAAACAAAAAATATGCTATAATAATATAAAGCTGGAGGTCATGAGTCTTTGCTACGCATACATCGTTTTCAGACCATTACCTCAGAGGATGCAGAGAACTTCTCTTGGGGAGGGATACCTCCTTTTCACACATTGATAAATCGACAACCCTTTGTTGTCGAAGTAGTATTCTCTTCTCTGTACTCCGGTTAAGGTAGAAGCACAGCCTGCTACTTCACACAGTACGTGCAAAATCTGTGCATGGTCTTGTATAAACTTCTACAAACATTGGATAATACTATGTCAACAATTAAAATCTAAAATAACTTTGGATCATCTTGGAAATTCCAGCATAAGCAGAGCGGTGTTAGTGAGTTAATGAGCTGTCAAGTGTCCTGGATATGCTGTGAACTTCACTGACCCCAGTTCTGCAGCAGTTAAGCTGTGTATCATTGTTTCACATTAAAGGATAATAGTTGCTTCACAAAACGCAGAAGATGCAACATGCACTTGCAGGTAAACAGGCAAATTACAACAGATGAAAAATCTCAGTGGGTGTCTTTTTAAGATCACAACTGCTTCTGATCTTAAGTCCGACTCAGACCGCTTACCTTAAGTCCAGGTGGGCCAGGTCTGCCAGGATTCCCATGGGGACCAGGGTCACCCTATTTAAAGGATCAGAGACCAGACAACACTTTAGAAATTATTGAAAGATTTATCTCAGTCAATATGTACAGATGCATGGAGTGTGTCTTTGGCACAACAAAGGAGATTAAAGAAGTCTGGAGAAACTTAGCCATAATACTTATTTGCCTTAGCTTTGTGTGTATATGGATGTGTGCATGTGGTATTTGGGGTTGATTTTGGGGGGGTTCATGGAAAATTGGGCTCCCTCGAGCTTCTTCAACATATGGCTGTGTTTTCCTGTCCACAGTTGGTTCACGATCCAACCCCCACTTCCATACATATGCCCACAAACAAACACAACTGCCAGGCATGTTAGTGACTAATGCTGAAAGTCTAATGGTAAAGCCTTGTGATTTTGAACCAAGCCACAGATACTTGTTTCTGTCTTCACTGGCAGTTAATGGGGAGATGGACTGACACAGAGCAAGATCAGTCATGGGAGCACATAGGTAATGTGAACTCTTGCAGTCTATCCAGCAGCCCCCATGGGAAGGTTGAGCAGAGAAACTTTTTAAGCCAGGGAACGAATCTGTAACTGAATTTGTGTTTGAAATGTAGCCCGCAGACAGAAGTGTGGGGGTGGGTTGTATTGCCGCTTATTTACCCGTCTGTCTGTCTGCTTTCTGGAACTCTAAGGGAGTTTTTTTCCTGTTGGGTCTCTGACCTTACCCCTTCCTTACTTGTGATGTAGCACCTTGAGGCCCCTAACCTATCCCCATTCAGGGGTCAAGGGTTGGTTGTTGTGGTAAGTGTGGAAGAAGAGCCATGAGTGCTTCAAAGAACTGTGGTGGTGAATTTTTGCTGAGGTCATTCAAAGCAAACAAAGAGGCTTCAATGCTAGGGGTCAGATCTACTGCATTAAAAACAGATACGTGCTTAAAAGCTAGGCAGTCAAAGTTCTATTTTTTTATCCAAGAGAAAGAAAAGAAAAACATATTGGGGTTTGGACTTGACTATACAGCACCACAAAAATGTTCTGTGAGAAAAATTTAAAAACTGACATCTTGGTTTGGTGCAGACAAGACTGCATTAATCTTTTCTGCTGAAGTTAATCTTTCTGTCAGGGGCTGATGACAGTTTTCTCTAGCCCACCTAGAGTAGGAATTGATGTCATATGTTAGAGGTGTTTGATTCTATTTTTGTACTAAGTTTAGAATGATAAAAATGTAAAAAAAAAAAATATTCCCAATTATGGGGTACTGTCAAGATAAATTATCTTACAAAAATATTCATAGCCCTCAACTCTGCCAAACTATTTCACAAGGTTTGGTGCATTTTATTGTGCTTTTGTGTGATGGAGCAACAGAAAATGATTATAAAGAGGAAAGGGGATAACATTTATTTAAATTTTTATACAACTAGAAATAAAAACGAAGGAAGTGCAATTATGTTCCGCCTCTTTTACACTGAATGAAATCAATATCCAGGTTACCTTGTTAATAAAAGGAATCTATCCATGTGTAGTTTTATTGCAGTACTGGTGTTCTATGAAGGTATTGGTTGCTTATTAGTAATAATCAGGGAACAAACTGCTTCATGAAGAACCAATGATCACAGCAGACAGGTTCTGGATAGAGTTCAGTGTAATTTTAAATCACAGTGAGTTCCGATTATCATTATTTAAAGCTGTTCAACCATAACAATTGGCATGGACAGCATCAACCAAAGAACCAACCCATTGCAACTACAGAAACTGCAAAAATCGACAACAAATTTAGGGGACAAATAAAACAATAAATCAGATGAAACCAAAACAGAACTTTCTGGCCTTATGTAAAAAAACACAACGGCAACATCCCACACCACCCTAAACATATTACTACCAAAGTCCTACAAAGCAATGGCAGCATCATGCTGAGGAAAAAGTTTTGTTAAGCTGGATGAGAGAGTTGATTAAAATGGTGAGTGGATTTAAAGAAAGGGTAATCATGGAAGAAAATGAAAGATTTCGCACGACATCTATAATCCATACTGCCAAAACAATTAAGTATATTAAAGCTTAATTATGTAAGCTGTGAACTATTTTATTGCTAGAGGTCATTTATTTGTTCAAGGTCCAAAACATTATCATTTAAAGACAACATTTCCTGATTGTGGTGTATGGTCAAGTTATTCTCTTGGTAATTTTCTGATGTTTTAAAGAGCTCCCCTCTTTTTATCCCACACACTACTCCTTTTACTCTTGGTTTGTGTGCAGCTGGCAATCCATGGGAGGCGGTCTGTCCGCACAGCGTTAAGGAACGCTGTACTGCCCTAAATAAACTTAAACAAACAAGGCACATTTGAATTACATGCTTCAAAATTAACCCAGCGGCGTACCACAGGTTGGGCAGTGCACTAGAGGGCACGGGCTGGCATGGGAGTTTGGTTGTATATGTTCTTGCTTTCATGTAATGTGCCTTTCTCTCACAACAGGTGTCTAATTAGAGAGTACCAGGGTGGAGCTTTAGCAAGTTGAGAGCCACTAAATAAAAAAAAAGAAGAAATAGACCACTGTTCAATGTCTTTGTGGTTTTTAAGAAAGTTCCAATGCTACACATGCTTTGTGGATCTAAATAATTCATATGATAGAAAGCTCCATGGAGAATTTCAGTGCTGAAGCATTCACATCCCTCTAGCTTTAAACAAGTTTTTTCTAATTTAGAACCTTTAACAACCTCACTGAAATGAACATGTGGACTGGGGGATTTCTGAAGACAACTAATAGTATTGCATTTCATTAGGGGCTACAAAGTTTGTATCATTGCTGCCTTGAAGCAAGAAGGTCCTTGATTCGATTCCTGGCCTAGTGTCTTTCTGCATGTTGCTTGCATGATCCTTCTGTGCATGTGCAGTTTTCTTCCACAGTCCAAAAACATGACTGTCTCTAAATAGTCCTCAGGTGTGTGTGTCTGTGAGCATGGTTGGATGACTATCAGTCACCAGTCCATCACAAGGACATAAAGTCTGTATGTTGCCCTTTCATTCTGTCCAGGGTGTAACGTGTCTTTTGGCTACAGACTGCTGGAGATGGGCACCAGACTCCTTTAAAATGGATGGATTTCACTGACAAAAAAACACTTCCAGTGCATAATTATCAACTACTTTCTGGGCTCTTCAACATGAAATCCATATGAAATACATTGGGCTTTGTGGTTGTAATGTGATAAGTTGTTCAAAGGTTTGTGGGGTATGAACACTTTTGTGTTTCATTATACATAGTGTGCAGCTCAACTTGATTTCAAATGAAAGACCTCATGCCAAACATTATATTTCCACACAGGCATAAAATAGGCTACACAACAAACAAAGCCTGGGCTTTAACATGAGCTCATAAAAGACACTTTAAATGCATATAAAGGCATCGTATTAAAGATAAAAGAAGTTCTTTGAGCATAACTAGGCTCTACAGGATAACATCTGATGACCTAACATGAAGTTAAAAGAGCATTTGAAACCACTGGACGTCCTCATAATTACAGATTGTGAGACGGACATGCACATGAGAGAACCTTTTGCTCTAAGGGAAACATTTCACTGTTCATTAGAGATTTAAGAGCGTGTCAAGACATTGTTGAGTGAGAAGAACAGAATGTTCAGCCTAATGCTGTCACATAAAGTAGCCTACATTAGCAGACTGTAATAATTAATGGATTCAACAGCTTATATTTTAGAGGTAACTGCATCATGCACCGAGCAGTGGTGTGGAAAAGAGACTTTATTAATAACCAAATCATAGGAATAACAGTAAAAATCCCATTAAGGCCATGACAGGTTTGACAATAACAATGAAAACATTGAGATATTACTTTACCCAAATGTGATCTTAAACTGTATAAAGGTGCTAAAGGGAAATGCAAAATTTAGTAGTCTGGCAGTTTTATTATGCTGAAACATATTAGTCATTTTCCAGAGCAAGAAGCTGTATTCACAGTTTACTGAAGAAAATTATTAAGACTCTTACAAATCCGTTGCCTAGTTTTCTCGATGATACAAACAAACTGTCATCAGAAGATTAGGTTGAAGTTTCATTTAATTTAAAAAGCTCTGGTTTACAGTTCTGGTCAAAATTGTGTGTACACCCATTCCAGGCATGAATTCCATGTTATTTTTAGCTTTACATACTGTATTTAAACATTTTTTTCTGGGTGGAGAGATTATTAAATATACACCTTTAGTTAAATTACAAACAAGAACAGGGTGAACAAGTTGGAATTTATTTTAAGTCTATATTACATATACAGACTGAAGTATATACACACACCCTGATGTTTAGTTAGTTATTTCACCTCTGTTATATGTTTTTTTTAAGCCATGTGTACAGTAAGCTTCTTACATATACTAGTTAGATATAGCGACTTTTCTTCTATACAGAAAGTATAATTCACTCATTTCAAGAGTGTTTATGTCAGGCCCTCGGTAGGGTCAGTCAGAAAGCCCAATTAAAGGTATTTAAAAAAACACCCCTGTTATGCATTTAGAGTTTTTCTGTATGACCATCCATCTATGTCCAGTGTTTGTTTATTTTATTGAAACTATGATCCTTAAAATATCTTCAACAACCTCCAAAACTCACAACGTATTATAAACTGTTAAAAAAAGAGATTCTGCTACAAAGAGGACGCCTCTAAATCTGATAAATATCCAGCAGTACCCATGGAGGAAACAAAACATCTTCTCGATAAAACATGTGCTATCAGAACAGAATATGCTTTTAGCGATTTAACTACATTAAAAAGAGGCATCTTTGAAGTATAAGAAGAGACTTTGGTCAAAGGAATGTTGAAGCAATTGTCAAATATGATGGTTAGAGCATCATACAGAGGATGGGTGGGACTATTAAGAAGGTCCACCTTTGAACTCTACAATTTCATCAATTTCTCTATGGCTGAAAGTTGGACATATTTGGGGCGGCAATCAAAAAGCTGGTTTTAGAATAGGTAAAGAAGGCTGAAATTAAAGATTAGAACAGCCTTCTATTTAGACAAAATAAAAATCT